TTTTTTTTTCTTTTTTTGAAACAGAGCCTTGCTCTGTCACCTAGGCTGGAGAGCAGTGGCACAGTCTTGGCTCACTGCAACCTCCACCTCCTGGGCTCAAGCAATTCTCTTGCCTCAGCCTCCTGAATAGCCAAGACTACAGGTATACACGACAACGCCCAGCTAATTTTTGTATTGGTAGAGACAGAGTTTTACCATGTTGGCCAGGGTGTTCTCAAACTCCTGACCTCAAGTGATCCGCCTGCCCTTCGCCACCCAGTGTTGGGATTACAGGCGTGAGCCACTGCGCCTGATCAGAGGTGGAGATTTTAGCTAGCAGTCACCAGACGCCCCCCGCCAACCTAAGTTCAGCACAGAGCAGTAGACAAAAATCCCTAGCTCTCAGTTTCTCCCTGGGGGAGAGAAAGAGTTGGACGAAGTGTCCAAGAGTCCAACTTTGCTGGTAATCACCCATGGAACTGGCTTCAGAATCACTTGTTTCAGTGTACTGATGTGAGGCATACCTTATATGGCTGGAGGCTGAAAAGAACAAAGCAAGCAGGCTGGACTAGCATGAAGGTTTGAGAGACCCCCAGAATATCTGACTGGGCTCTTTGGTGGGAATCTTTTCCTGTACAGGGACAGTTCCTGAAGCCTAGGAGAAGTGACTACTTCATCTAATGTGGAGATGCCAACACAGAGACTTAATAGAAAATGACAAATTAGTGTTCTCTGGAGAATACTGACACATTTAGTATTTTTATTATACAATTCAAAATGTTTTCCAATTTCCCTTGTGGTTTTTTCTTTGACTGTTGGATAATCTAAAAATATTATTTCTGAGATTTGAAACATATGGGGATTTTGTTGCCATTTTAAAGCCATTATAAAATAATTGATTTCTAGCTTAATTATAAGATTGTCATTGATTTTAGACTGAAATAAGTTCAGATTTGCTTAATGGTTAGGTAAATGATCACTTTTTGTAAATATTTTGTGTGCTTGAAAGAAACGTGTTTTCTGCCGTCTTAGGCACCTTGTATGTACATATATGTACAGCTGTTCCTTGACTTACAATCAAGTTCCCAATAAATTTATTTTAAGTTGAAAATATTTAAGGCGAAAATGCAGTTAATTCTGGCAAAATAGCAGGCATCTACAACTTGTGATGGTTTGACTTAATGATATTTTGATTTTATAATGATGGAAAAGCAACATGCACTTAATAGAAACCGTAACACCATCATAAGTTATAAGGAGCTCCCAGACTTACAATTTGGTAACACCCTGATAAACTCATGATAAGGTCAAAAAGTTCCAAGACAGAGACCACCTATATACACACGTATAAATTTAAGTTTGTTCATTTTGTTTGAATCTTCTGTATCAAAACTCATATTTTGTGTACTTTATCACTTACTGAGTTGAGGTGCTGGAATGTCCCTTTATGGTTTGCATTTATCTATTTCTTTATTTAATTTTATTATTTTTGCTTTATATATTTTAGGCCATACTATTTATACATATGAAATTACTACTGTAATATGTTTGTTTGTAGAAGTTTTATTGTTATGAAGTGATCTTCTTTAGTATTATTTTCTGCCTTAACGTCATTTCTGTCTGATATTAATATATCCACACTTTGGTTAATATTTTCCAGATAGATCTTCTCTAATCCCTTTACTTTGAACTTTTAATATATTTATATTTTAGGTGTGCCACTTCTAAAGAACATGTAGTTAGATATTTTTAATTCAGTGTGACCATTTTTGTTTTTTAACTAGTGCATTTCGTGTTTATACATTTAATATAATAGGTATTTTTGAGTTTAAATCTATAACTTTATGCTTTCTATTATTTTTTTTTTCTTTTTGAGACAGAGTCTCGCTATATGCTCAGGCTGGAGTCCAGTGGTGCAATCTCTGCTCACTGCAACCTCCACCTCCAATGTTCAAGTGATTTTCATGCCTCAGCCTCCCAAGTAGCTGGGATCACAGGTGTGTGCTGCCACACCCATCTAATTTCTGTATTTTTAGTAGAAACTAGGTTTCACCATGTTGGCCAGACTGGTCTCAAACTCCTGACCTCAGGTAATCTGACTGTCTCAGTCTCCCAAAGTTCTGAGTTTACAGGCGTGAGCCACCACACCCGGCTTCTGTTTATCATTTCTATTCTGTTTTACTCTCCTTGCCTTTTTTCGGATCAGTGTTTTTAAATAATAGACTTTACTTGTAAGAGCAGTTTTAGGTTTACAGAAAAATTGAGTAGGAACTATAGAGAGTTTCCATATACCCCTCAGCATTCTTCACATGTTCAATTTCCCCTGTTATTAACATCTTGCATTAGTGTGCTATATGTGTTAGAATTGATAAGTCAAAATTGGTATGTTATTTTTAACTAAAGTCTTTACATTAGGGATTAGTCTTTGTGTTGTACATGATATATGGTTTGATGAATGTATAAAAACGTGTCTACCATTATACCATACAGAATAGTTTCAACTCCCTGTGGTTCACATATTCATCCCTTCCTTCCTCTCACTTAACTAGTGGCAACCACTGATATTTTTACTGTCTCCATAGTTTTGCCTTTTCCAGAATGTCACATAATTGGAATCATGTAGTATGTAGCCTTTTCAAATAGCTTTCTTTCATTTAGCAATATGAATTTAAGGTTCCTTCATGTCTTTTTATGAGTTGGTAGTTCATTTTTTAATTGCTGAATAATATCCCATTATCTGGATATATTAGTTGATACACTCACTTATGGAAGAACATCTCGGTTGCTTCCAAATTTCAGCAATTATGAATAAAGCCACTACAAATATCTTTGTGCCGATTTTTGTGTAGACAAAGTTTTGACACATTCAAGTAAATACCAAAGGTGCAGCTGCTGGATTGTATAGCAAGAGTATGTTTAGTTTTGTAGGAAACTGCCAAAGTGTCTTCCAAGGTGGCTCTATTATTTTTCATTTCCACCAGTGATGAATGGGAGTTCCTGTTGCACCACATCTTTGCCCAGCATTACATGTTGTTAAAGTGTTTTGAATTTTAGATATTTTAGATGTGTAGTGGTATCTCATTGCTGTTTTAATTTGCAAAACCCTAATGACATATGATATTAAGCACCTTTTCATATACTTATTTGCTGTATGTGTATTTTATTTAGTGAAGTGTTTCTTCAGGTCTTTTGCCCATTTTATACTTTGGGTTGTTTGTTTTCTTATTGTTGAGTTTGAAGAATTCTTCATACGTGTTGAATACCAGTCCTTTATTAGATCTGTGTTTTGCAAATATTTTTTCCAATGTGTGGCTTTTATCTTTTATTATTTTAATCATGTCTTTCACAGAGCAGTTTTTAATTTTAATGAAGTTCAACTTACCAGTTTTTTCTTTCATAGATAGGTTTTTGGTGTTGTGTCTAAAAAGCCATTGCCAAACCCACTAAGTTAGCCTAGATTTTCTCCTATGTTGTCTTCTAAGAGTTTTATAGTTTGGGGTTTTATATTTAGGTTATAATCCATTTTTAGTTAATTTTTATGAGGTTTGTAGTCTATGTCTAAATGTACTTTTTTACATATGGATATCTAGTTGTTCAAGCACCATTTGTTAAAAATACTACTTTAAATGTTTTTTACATTCCAGTCTTCCCCTTCTACTTGTGTGAAAATAATTTACTGCTTCTAATTTCTTAGTGGCTATCCTAGAAAGTATAGAATCCTTTCTTAACTGTCTTCCATGTTTGTAATCACTCTGTGCTGCACTATGGCCATTGTATTCTGTTTTATCTTTCAGTTCACTAATTTTCTCTTCATCTGTTTCTAATCTGCTACTAAACCTGTGTATTATGTTTTAATTTGGGTAATTGGGTTTTTCATTTCAAAAAGCTTCTTGTTTCAAATTCCCAAAGTCACATTTTATGGTCTCTGTTTCCTACTAACTTCACTAATAAACAAATAATAACTGGTATGGCACAGGCAATAATAAAATAGGATGGATACCATCTAGAAATAACCACTGTAACTATATTAATTCATACCATTGTGTATCAACCCACATACATATATTTTGAGCATACATTATATTTCTTTCGATTTTGAAAGTGTAGTTGTTTTATAAGCAGTGTTTAAAAATTCTAGTATCTGCATCTTGAGGGTCTGCTTCTGTTATTTCTTGTTTCTGCTGTTTATGATACCTTGTTTCCAAGTGTGCTTTGTTATTTTTTTTAACATGTACAACTCTTGGTTCTTGAAAAATTATTTATGTAAATATTTGAGAGGCTAAGGTGAAGGTGGTTTCCTCCAGAGAAGATTTACATTTGCTTCCGTAGATGTTCAGGAGCTATCTAAACTAAATTCTCAACTTTAGGTCTTTTAGCTTCCTGTATAACATAGTTTCGGGAAGTAAATACATTTGTCTCCTATTATTACACCTCAGGGATTATTTCCCTCCATCCCATTGTGCTGCCTTCTATTCAGCACCATGGTAACTTTATTTGCAGTCCCCTAGGGATGTAAGTAGGAGTGGGTTTACTTTTGGCTTGTCCCTAGTCTAGGAGTGTGATCCCTTGGAACTTGATGTCTGTTCCCTTACCTAGTGATGTTCCTCAAAACTCAAGTAAACATTTGCTTACATTTGCAAATGCTTACCAGGTAAAAGTGACTTTCCTTTTCTGCTTACCTCTCTGAGGCCTCACTTTTCCTTAGATTTTGCCTTGATAATTCTTGTACTATCTTGTCAGTTGCTCTTATTCTTTCTGTAAAAAAAGTTAATATTTCATCCAACAGTTTTGGTTGCTTTCAGCAGGAGGGTGAGTCTGATCTAACTCACTCTATTGCCAGAAGTAGAACTCAAAGTTACTTTAGCATTCTAGAAGAGCAGTTCAGCAAATATTTTTCTTAGATTGATATATTTTCATTGTGAGTATCCCTCAACCATTTTGATTACCTTAATGATATTAGTAAAATATGGTAAATCCTTCCTCGTAGATTTTATTAAAAGGACCCAATGTTTTCTTTTCAGGCCAAAGAGGCAGTGGCAGAAGCTGAACGACATGATCCTAGAAATGTTTTCACTCAGTTTTATGTATTCAAGATTGCAGTCATAGAGGGCGACTCTCAAAGAGGTATAAATTTTATTTGTTATTTATATTTGATGAGTAACACAAAGCATAAATAATTCTCTTCAAACACAATGGGAAAAGAACATTGTTTTTAAGACAATTGAATTGAATATATGTTCTATCTTTCCTATGTAAAGATGATACAATGATGCAAAAAGAAACTGTGGAAGGTTATATAAAAGTAAAAGAACGTGGTTATCTATGGATGGAAGAGGAACTGGGCAAACATGGGATAAGAATTGGGGAAAGTCTTATCACTATGTACTTTTTTAACTTTTATTTAAACCAACCTATTCAAAAAATTAAATTTAAAAAGCTATGTGTTAGATTGTACTAAAAACCCATATCAGTTAAGAATTTTCTTCAAAAAATGAAAGTTGGGGTACCTTTTGATTGTTTTCACTTACTTGGGAGGAGACTGATGAGAGATTTGGCCTTGAAATCGAGTTTATCTCCACAGAGTGGACAGTTTTGGAATTTTACACGTAACCCTCATCCCATTAATGTTGAGGCCTTTCCATTATGTTAAGCATGGTTTCTAGCTGGTGTGTTTGCATAGGCACATTTATGTTGAATTGGTTATAGATATGCCTTTGCTCAGATATGAATGCCTTCAGCCTTGAGCCCTCAGGGTATCTGAACTAATCCTGAGGCATTCTGAGCTCCAGACTGTTTGCCATTTGTTTGGCATAAATTAAGAAATTTAAATTAATGACTCCACACAAAATGTATAGAATCCAATTAAGCAAATGTTTCTGGACTGCTACTAGGTACAAGGTACTCTATTATTCACTTCATGAGAAAAAGGATCATTCATTTACATTAAAAAGGAAATATTCCAGAATAGTAAAGTATATCTGTATAATTAAGAAATAGTAAATTACAGGTTAATATTGCTGTCATGTTCATCACCAAAGTTTGCATTAGAGGTTTGTAGGCATTTGTTTTACTTGATACACCATGTTTAAGGATTAAAGAACTTGAAGTTTTTTGCCAGTAAAAATGCCAAAAATAGGCTGGGCACAGTGGCTGACGCCTGTAATCCCAACACTTTGGGAAGCCTAGAAAGGCGGATTACGAGGTCAAGCGATTGAGACCATCTTGGCCAACATGGTAAAACCCTGTCTCTACTAAAAATACAAAAAATAGCTGGACGTGGTGGCGTGCATCTGTAATCCCAGCTACTCAGGAGACTCAGGCGGGAGAATCCTTTGAACCCAGGAAGTGGAGGTTGCATTGAGCCGAGATCACACCACTATACTCCATCCAGCCTGGCGACAGAACGAGACTCTGCCTCAAAAAAAAAAAAAAAAAAAAAAAAAAAAAAAAAAAAAAAGGCAAAAATAGTAATAAATTCCCTGTTAAATCTTTTGCTTGAACATTAGTTTTAAAAAATTATTTTACTTTTTAAATACAGCATCAGATCAACCCTTTTAATTCTTCTCCAGTTATCTGTGACCATTTTTTTAAAAGTCATGTATATTGAAGATACATATAATCTACTCTTGCTGGTGTATGGTCCTGTGAGGTTTATATATGTTAAAAATTCTATGAGTTTTAATAAGTGCATACAGTCATATAACTATCACCACAATGTAGAAAAAAATACCTCAGGCCTCTTTACTGTCACTCCTCACCACTTTCAGCCCTGGAAATCAGTGATACCTTCTATCTCTATAGTTCTGTCTTTTCAAGAATGTCATATAAATGAAATCAAACAGTACGAAGCTTTTTGAACTTGACTTCTTTCACTTAGCTTAATGCATTTGAAAATCATCCATATTGTGTGTATCCACAGTTTTAATTTTTTTATTTTTTTATTGCTGTGTGGCATTCCATAGTTTGGAAATACCACAGTATGGAAAAATTCATTTACCAGTTGAAGGATATTTGGATGGTTTTCAGGGTTTTTTTTTTTTGCCTCTGAGACAAGTTCAAAGTTTTAAGTTTTGATGATTGTAAATAAAGGTGCTATAAAACATCTCTTTACATAATTTGTGTGATAATATTTTTTTGAGATGGGGTCTCACTCTGTCACCCAGTCTTGAGTGCAGTGGCATGATCTCAGTTCACTGCAATCTCTACCTCCTGGGTTCAAGCGATTCTCCTGCCTCAGCCTCCTGAGTAGCTAGCACTGCAGGTGCACACCACCATGCCCAGATAATTTGATGATAATATTTTACTTCTTTAGGGTAAATAGCTAGGAGTAGGATTGTGGACTTAAATGGAAAATATATGTTTAACTTTATTAGAAACTGCAAAACTGTTTTCTAAAGTGGCCATTACAATTTCACATGTGCACCAGCTATGTTTAAGAGTTCTAGCTGATCTACATTCTCATCAGCACTTGTAATTATCCACTTAAAAAAATTTAGCCATTCTGGGAGATTATTAAAAAGTCAGGAAACAACAGATGCTGGTGAGGCTGTGGAGACATAGGAATGCTTTTGCACTGTTGGTGGGAATGTAAATTATTTCAATCATTGTGGATGACAGTGTGATGATTCCTCAAGGATCTGGAACCAGAAATACCATTTGACCCAGCTATCCCATTACTGGGTGTATACCCAAAGGACTATAAATCATTCTGTTATAAAGATACATGCACATGTATGTTCATTGCAGCACTATTCAAAATAACAAAGACATGGGACCAACCCAAATGCCCATCAGTGATAGATTGGATAAAGAAAATGTGACATATATCCCCCAAAGAATACTATGCAGCCATAAAAAGGAATGAGATCATATCTTTTGCAGGGACATGGATAAAGCTGGAAGCCATCATCCTCAGCAAACTAATATAGGAACAGAAAACCAAACAGCACATGGTGTCACTCATAAGTGAACGTTGAACAATGAGAACACATGGACACAACAAGGAGGGGAAAAACACACACTGGAGCCCTGTGGGCATGGGAAGGGGAGGGAGACCATCAGGACAAATAGCTAATGCATGTGGGGCTTAAAACCTAGGTGATGGGTTGATAGGTGCAGCAAACTACCATCGTACACGTATGCCTATGTAATAAACTTGCACATTCTGTACGTGTATTCTGGAACTTTAAAAATAATAAAGAACAAAAACTTAGCCATTCTGATAGTGGATAATAGTGTTTTAATGTGGCATTAAGCATTTCCATAATGTCTAATATTTAATATCCATGTATCTTCTTTGGTGGAGTGTTGGTATAAATCTTTTTCTGAGTTTAAGATAGAGTTTTGTTTTATTATTGATTTTTGACAGTTCTTTATATATTCTGGATACAAGTTTTTTAAAAAAACTTATTTTTTAATTGGCAAATAAAAATCATATATATATATATAGATAGATAGATTATGAACAACATGGTGTTTTAAAGATGTTTACATTGTGGAATGGCTAAATCAAGCTAATTAACATATACATTACCTCATATCTTTTTTTTTTTTTTTTGAAGCAAGGTCTTACTCTGTGACCCAAGTGGAAGTGCAATGGAGTAATCACAGCTCATTGCAGCCTTGACCTCCCAGGTTAAAATGATCCTGTACTTCATCTCTTTTATTTTTTGTAGAGATGGAGTCTCACTATGTTGCCCGGGCTGGTCTCAAACTCCTTGGCTCAACCAATCCTCCTGCTTCAGCCTTCCAAAGTGCTAGGATTATAGGCATGAGCCATCACAGCGAACCCTACCTCACATACTTATCTTCTGTGTGTGTGTGTGTGTTGTGAGCACACTTAAACTCTCAGTGATTTTTTGGGAATAGAATACATTGGGCCAGGTGCAGTGGTGCACACCTGTAATCCCAGCACTTTGGGAGGCTGAGGCAGGGAGATCACAAGATCAGGAGATAAAACCATCCTGCCAGCATGGTGAAACCCTGTCTCTACTACAAATAAAAAAAATTAGCTGGGCATGGTGGTGCACGTCTGTATTCCCAGCTACTTGGCAGGTTGAGGCAGGAGAACTGCTTGATCCCAGGAAGCAGAGATTGCAGTAAGCTTAGATTGCACCACTGCACTCCATCCTGACAACAGAGCAAGAGTCCGTCTGAAAAAAAAAAAAAGAATAGAATACATTGTTATGATCTATAGTCACCATGTTGTACAATAGATCTCTTGAACTTGTTTCTTCTACTCCACTGAAGTTCTGTATTCTTTCACCATCTCCTTAATCTCCCCCATTCCTTAGTCCCTGGCAACCACCATTCTACTTTGCTTTTATGATCATTCTACTTTGCTTCTATGAGGTCAACTTTTTTAGATTTCACATATGAGATCATGTGGTATTTATTGTACCTGACTTATTTCACTTAATATAATGTCATCCAGGTTCATACATTTTTTTTTCACAAATGACAGGATTTTCTCCTTTTTTTGAGGCTGAATAGTATTCCATTGTGTATATATACACCATTTTCTTTATTCATTTATCTTTTGATGGACACTTAAGTTGATTCCATAGCTTGGCTATTGTGAATAATGCTGCAGTGAATATGGGAGTGCAGATATCTCTTTGACATAATGATTTCACTTTTTGGGGAGGATATTCAACCAAGTAGTGGGACTGCTGGATCATATGGTACTTCTATTTTAATTTTTTTGAGGAACCTCCATACTGCTTTCCATGATGGCCATAGTAATTTACATTCCCACCTATGGGACTGTAATATGTAGAAGGGTTCCTTGTTCTCCACATCCTTGCCAACACTTGTTTTTTTTTTTAATTGCATTTTAGGTTTTGGGGTACATGTGAAGAACATGCAAGATTGTTGCATAGGTACACACATGGCAGTGTGGTTTTCTGCCTTCTGTCCCCTTGCCTGTATCTGTCCTTTCTCCCCATGCTATCTCTTCCCACCTCCCCACCCCCGTCCCTCCCCCATTTCCCCCCAACGAACCCCAGTGTGTAGTGCTCCCCTCCCTGTGTCCATGTGTTCTTGTTCTTCAACATCCGCCTATCAGTGAGAACGTTCGGTGTTTGATTTTCTGCTCTTGTGTCAGTTTGCTGAGAATGATGGTT